TAATCAGCTCAGATCATCATGTTCACCAAGAACTGGCTTCTTAATTAAGTTAGTACACAGATCTATAATATGGATTTAGTTTAATTCTTGGTGAATATGCTAAAGTATAAGGAAATTGAATACCAAACTATATCTTACCATTGGCACTCACACCTCAACAAGGCAAATGGGCATTTAATACGTTTTGATACTAAAGCTTAATGCGGAACTTCAATCACTTACGCTTTCAGTATGCAGCACTACGCTGTGGGTGGGCCACCTGTCTAAGCTTGTTTACCAGGAGGAGCTGTCCGACACCTTTGGCGAGTATGGCGATATAGTGAGCATCGACCAGATTGTGCCGCGTGGATGCGCCTTTATTGTAATGAACCGGCGGCAGGATGCCCACAAGGCGATGCAAGCTCTGAAGAACCACAAACTGCAGGGACGCGCCATTACCATTTCGTGGGCCGCCGGCAAGGGTGTGAAAAGCAAGGAGTGGAAGGACTTTTGGGACCTCGAACTGGGTGTTACTTACATTCCTTGGTCCAAACTCAGTTCGGATACGGACTTTGACGCCCTGGAGGAGGGTGGTATGTTTGACGAGGACACCATGCCCATCCAAATGAAGCAGAAGATCAACCAGGCCAAGAATGCTAGCAAGGACCATAAAGGTCCATCCATTGCTGAGGCAGCTGGTGCGCCTAGTGTTGGGGTTCCACCACCAAGTCTGATATTTGGCATCGACACAACTCAACCTCCACCGGTTGGTCCAGTCGGCCCAGTGGGCCCTCCACCTGGTCCGGGAGCCCCACCTCCGGGGCTCATGGGTATGGTTAGGGGACAGTTCCCGATGGCCCCACCCATGGCCATTAATATGCCTCCACCCATAATGATGCCGCCAACAAACATGCCGCCACCGATGATGATGCCAACGACCAACATGCCTCCTCCAATGATGATGCCACCGGCAATGATGCCTCCTGGCTTTCCAGGTAGCTAATACTCTTGTAAAACTGAACTTCCAGCTGATTTTAAATTTCCCACAGGCATTGGTGGACCACCACATCCTATGGGCTTGCCACCAGGAGCTCCGTTTCCTCCGCCCGGAGCTGTGCCGCCACCCATTTCTAGCGGAGGGCAGATTAGCAACAGTGGCAATGTGAGCGATGATCAAATGGACATTGAAATGGACCTGGAGGACGCACCACCTCTGCCCCCGCAACAGCAAGCCAACTTTAATCCGTCGCCCAACAATGCGGAGCTATCACCGGCGGCCATGGCCAACGAGATGTTCCAGCAGCGGGACAGGGAGCGCGATCGAGATAGGGATCGCTCGAGGGGACCGGGCAACTCTCGTTGGGGCGGACGAGATGATGTTGTTGAAGCGGCAGAACGCTGGCGCGCCGAAAATGGAGGTGGAGGTGGTGGTCCGGGATCTGGACCTGGACCGAACGCTGCCTTTAACGAGGCACGAGCGCGACTGAACCTTAATCCTATTGACCACGGGATGCCAAGGCCGGACTTCATGGGTGTGTAGAAATATGATGCATGAAGCTTTGCAGCTTATTAAACTTAAATCGCTTTACAGATTTTGATAATCGCGGTGGACCGGGTGGACCTCGAGGAATGGGACCGCGTGGAAACCATAACGGTGGCCCCGGAGGCGACTTTTTCCAGCCCAACATGAACAATCGGTTCAATCAGCCCACCAGCTTGATGCAGATGCGCATTCCGCCCCCGGCCTCCTTTAACCAGCGCATGGGTGGTCCAGCTGGTAACGGGGGCAACGGCGTCGGGCCCATGTTCATGCGAAACCAAGTAGGTGGGCCAGGTGGTGGTGGGCCCGGCGGTGGACCGGGTGGACGTCAGCAGGGTCCAGGTGAGAATCGTCAATTGAGTTGGAAGTTGGAAGCAAGACAAAACGAAAAATGAATTTTACTTTATAATTTGTAACCATTTCAATATTTTGTTTATCAATTGTAAACGAATATAATGAATTCAATTTAAATTTATATTTTTTTCAAGTTAAACTTGTTATTGCAAGAAAGTATATAAAAAAAACTTGATTTAAGCCAATTCGTGCAATTTATGCTTACCTTACTTGCAGGTTTCTTTAATCCTCGGAATCCCTTTAACGACAACCAACGAGGACGTGGAGGTCAAGGTGGAGGCGGAGGTCGTGGCGTGGGCGGAGGTGGGGGTGGCGGTCCTGGAGGTCGCGGACGTTGGAGCGACGATGAGGACGAGGGCGGAAACAACTTCAAGCGGCGTGGTGGTCCAGGGGGGCCAGGCGGTAATAGATTCCGTGGCGAGCGTGGAGGCGAAATGATGGACGACCGTCGAGGCAACAATTCACGTGGAGGACGCGGAGGTCCGCGAGAAGATCGTGAGCGTCCGGGCTTCGGAAACAGACGAGGCTCACGAGACGACAGCAACCGCCATTCTATAAGTTCCACGGACGAGGGCAACAAATCGGCTTCAGAGACGGAACCCAAGCCCAAAAACGTTGAAACCGAATTAGGGAGCACCAACACTGGTGCGCCAGCTGCGTCCTCTAGAGTGGACACCGAGGAGGATTGGGATCAGGAGCTTCAAGACTATGAGGCGAGAATGGAGGCCCAGAAGCCAGCATCTCAATCTGCTAGCAGTCCGCCACAGGAAAAGGTGCCGGCGGAGAATCAAAACTTTGCCAAGCCAGCCGACGTGGCCGGCGGCGATCCTTTGGCGACGAAATCGCAAACAGAAACTTCAGCCGCCTGCACGCCCCTTTATGACGAGCTGCCACCGCCAGCAGTCCCACAGACACCAACTCAGCCCTCGAAAGAACCTGAAGGTTCTCTGCACCACCCGGAGCCGCAAGTCATTGAAACCGCCGCGGCTGTGCTCCATGAGGAAACGGTTCCAGCGCCGGCTGCTGAACTCCAAACGGTGGCTCCATCGGCGGAGGACTCAAAAGCTGTAGCTGCTTCCGCCGATGTCGAAACCGATGCTGATCCATAGGCGACAGACAGATCAAATGAGAAACAAACTCATTATTGAGCAAATTCAAGATAAATTGTAATTTATGATTTTCCTTATCAAGTAACTTAAGTGTAACTCCATACATGCGAAAATTTTACCATTTTTAACCTGAGATTACGCAGCATTTGTTGACGAAAGGGGGTCGGACCGGACGCTTTTAAAACCAGATTCAGTTAATTCGCGTAATTTAATTTATCGTACAATAGGAACCACAACTACCAATGATTATGTGGAGCAACAGATACACACAGTTATAGCAAATAATTAGCAAAGGAAACGGATTGTATGGACAGGAAACTGACAGGGGAGCTTGTGGGGAAGTAGAAGCCCAATCATAAACAAATCAGCAATCGCAAAACTTGAAATGTTTATTATTTTGTTATGTATTTAGTTATAAGAGTATATTTAACACTCAAATTGTTTCTAATGCGCAGATTCTAGGTACACGCATATTAATGTACAATTCAAATACACCTATATTATCGGATACTATAAAATAAAAAATGAAAAACATCTGTCGCCTGCGTATCTTAACTACATTTTATGTTTTTGGAGTAGGCCAAGGTCAATCTCTTAAGCGTTGATAACGGAAATTTAGACAAAATAAATCCAATGACCCCGACGTGATTTGAACACGCAACCTTCCGATCTGGAGTCGGACGCGCTACCGTTGCGCCACGGAGTCAGATGAGGGGAGGTCTTTTAGATCCTTCTAATGAGAAAAAAGATCACCGTATTTCGACTTTTGTAGAATTCCAATTAGAATGGATCTTCACTGTGCACAAGCATCGGTGGTTCAGTGGTAGAATGCTCGCCTGCCACGCGGGCGGCCCGGGTTCGATTCCCGGCCGATGCAATTACATTTTTTATCGCATTTATTACATTTTTTGAACAAGATCCATATACTATGGTCAGAACAAAATGTAAATCTTGACGACGAAATCAGTCAATGGTAAAGAAAATAAGTAATAGCTACGGGCACTTAAATGAAATTAACGAATGGAATAAATATTTTTATGCTTCAAAAAAAAAATACACTTTAAAAATTTTATAACATTTCAAATTGGTACAGATACTAAAAAAATCAGTTTTGCATCGGCCGGGAATCGAACCCGGGCCGCCCGCGTGGCAGGCGAGCATTCTACCACTGAACCACCGATGCTTGTGATTCTTCCGGAACATTCTCTTGAATATTCTTTACCCTATTACTTTTCGGGCACTAACCAAAAACATTAAAATAATAAATAATAATAATTAGTCTAGTGTCTTTGCACTAACGGTATCTCACATCCCTCCCCTCATCTGACTCCGTGGCGCAACGGTAGCGCGTCCGACTCCAGATCGGAAGGTTGCGTGTTCAAATCACGTCGGGGTCAATAAAGATCAATTTTTGGAACTCTCGATTTTTGTATAAATGAATTTTTAGATAAAATTCCAGTGCTTGCAAAATTATTGTTCAAACTTTACCTTTTTGTTATATATAATATAGAGAGACAGTATAATATTTGAATTCGATATGGTTCGAAGAGATTAAGAATTCTAAAACTGAACCTGCTATAGCGAATTTCGACACCATGGGGTGACTGGTTTATTTTAGTACATTTTTTAAAGAAGTGATGTGCCTCGGTCGGTATCCAATAAGATTTACTCTCGCAACAATTAAAAACGCTTGTTGAGCGTTGTTAGAATGATAAGTGATTATTCATATATCCAAGCTCTCGCGCGTAGTTCGATAACATTATCGATGACAGTAGCTTATCGAAAGATGTGAACCATTTGGTGATTGCGGGATAATATCGATATCATCGAATATCGACTGGCATCGATAGTATTTCATGAACATCGACTTTGTTCCACCTCTAAGTTCGAAGCGTTCGAGTTTCGATTTCGTGTTAAAATATACAAAACGCAAGTTAATCGATACTGATCACCGGGAATTGTGTGCACAACGGTTACGGTAACGCGGAAAGAAAATGCAGTGGTAATTGAATGTAAGCATCACCGAAGTTGTCTAAGTGAAAAGGGAAAATTTTCGGGTGCTCAAGAATCCATCCATGCACACGCACACACTAGAGCAACACGCAGGCCGAGGAACATACACATTCTCACAGACACAGCGCAGTTGTTGGAAATGTGCAAATTGTATCAAAAATCCTCTCGAAAGTAAATAAGTTGAGCAGGAGAGCCAGTGAAAAATCGAGTGAAATAATCAGTGGCAAATTGTGTGCGAATGAAAATGCCAAAAGCATGCCCAAAGTACTGAAAGAAACGTGTGCAATTTTGCAGTGCTTTTTGGCTGTGTACATCGGTGTGTTCGTGTAGGTGAGGAGTGTGAAAAAGAAATACATAGGTGTATACATAGGTGTCCCTGTACGTGTGCCAGCCGCCAACAAACTACACACACACATACGCATACGTAACCGCAGTCGACGCTGGCAGAGCAGCGAGAGAGAGGCCAAAAAGGATGCTTCCTGGCAAAGAAATAAGTTCGGGGAGAGAGACAGAGAGAGATGCAGAAAGGATGCTTCCTGGGCTAAAATGTGGATGCTGTTCGAAAGCTCAAAAGGAGGCAACTTTTCACTTTTCCCCCATTTAGTTGTTTTTGTTTTTGCTGCTCTCTCCCTGCACAAACATGCATACCTTACCTCCCCCCCGCACCCACACACACACAGATGTTTTGTTTTATTCTAGCTATTTTCGGAAAAAAAAAAACGAAGGTGATCAAGCCAACCGGCATCAATGGGTTTCGTTATTTATTTGCCTTATTTATCATCCAGTCGCTACTCCCATCTGATAAGACCATCTGGCACAATGAAAACAAACCACGATAAAACTGGAGCGCCCATTATCGCAAAATTTCTTCAAGTTATGCAAAAAGCAGACACCAAATTACCGCATTTTATCAAAGTTCTTTAGCCTTTTGTTGCGCGTCGAATCTTGTCGCCCTGACGTTGTTGTTTTCATGCTTCCCTATTCGTTTTTCGCTTGTCGTTTTGTTTTTGTGGCTTTTCTAAATGCGACGAGCGTATATGTATGTGTTTATTGGTGTGTATGTGTGCACCGTGCGTGGGAGTGTGTCAGTGTGCGATCTCGTTTTGACCAACAAAATGCAATTGGGAAAGTGTTAAACAAAAGAGAGAAGAAGAGTGAGAGCGGGAGGAGGGATACAAAACAGGCGAGAGCAAATTCAGTGCACTTTATGAGCCGTTGAAAACTGTGGGTCATTTAAATGTTACATATGTGTGTATGTATATTCACGATCACATCGATAAAGGCCAAAATCATCTGGTGACCGTAGAGTGCTACCATCTCATCTTCCCTTTTGCCCTTTTGGTTTCTTAAAGCCTTTCTCTTGCTAATTCTGTTTAGTCTGGTCTGATTCAATGTAAAATTAGCTTTGCTTGTGAGTAAATGCGAAGTTATGTATACTTTCGATATTTCTTAATCTATTGGTAAACACTCGCACAAAATGCCCGAAGAAAAGGTTTTTAATAAACCGAGTTTTTAAGCAAAACTTGCTTCCATGGAAGTAATCATACTTCATGCTCAATCGGCATACAAATTAGGCCCAATTGGTAGTTTGCAGACAGTCGTTACAAAATGGCGGATACGAGCATAGTCCGGCCAGGAAAGTTAGCAGGCTGAGGATTCAGGTGGTCATTTGTGGTCCATCACAGGACGGGCAATAGAAACCAACACCGAAACCGAAACACGAACGGAAACAGGAACAGGACAATTGAGCAACAGCACCACACATACGTCATCGGCAGAGGAAGCTTCCTCATCCTGTGCCTCTCGAGCTGCTCCTGCTGCTGTTTCTGTTGCTTTTGCTAATGCTGCCATGTGGCCATCGCGATGGATGCGCTCCACTTTTGGATGCTATTTATAAACCTTTTCGCCCGTATACATACACACAAGGATGCCAGGCCACTGATTCTGCTCTGCTTCCTTGAAATCTGCATAGTTCCGCTTCCGATTGAGTTGGCGCAGTCGCACTGCCATGTCCGTTCCAAATCCATATCGCCCCATACCCAGCGCCAACCACATCCATCAAATCCATCCTTTATTGGCGCAACAGAGAGTGTGTATCACGTTCCAACGAATTTACCGGGCAGCATCCACATCCACATGTTGAGATGTAGTGGCCACATCGTCATCACTTCCCGGACTCCCTGTTAACCCCAAAAACACTGCTCCCGCACTCGGAAAACTCGACGTTGCATTGATTTGTTTGTGTTGGCCAGTGAGTGTGCGTGTTTTCCGTCTGCATTTCTGATTTTCGAGTCCTTTTCCGAAATTATTTTGGTGTTTTCATCAGCCAAGTCTGTTTTCACTTGAATTACCTGAAGCGAAGCTTTTAGCAATGATTCATAAGTAAACAATCTATTTTAACTCAAATGCAATGCTTAAGTTTAGTTAGTGGTTAGGTTGATATATCTTACTATAGCGTAAGGTTCTCTAAACTGCTTGGATTCCGACAATTGCCAGAACGCCTTATTGGCACGTATCTGATGCACACAGTGCTACATAATCATTCTTCTGTCCCACAGGTGTGCTTTTAACGCTTTTCGAATCTGTCAGAAGCTCATGCATATCACCATATATGTTCATATAAACAGTTTTTTATTGAGAAGCTAGTTCGAAAGATAGTTTAGTCTTTTCACAATTCAGAATGCAAATTCCAATGCGAAATGCCAGCTCATTTAACGTTACTTTAATTAGTATAAATGCTTTATTTTAATGTGGGTAGTTTGATAAACCGATGAGTCAATTAGCTTATCGTTCACTTTGCTGAATTTTCAGCTACTTCGCCATTATCCCCGATCTTTAGCCAATAGATAGTTTGGGTGTTTAAATTCAGATATCTTTTAAATACTAAAGTGTAAATACTCTGTGCCTGTTGTTTTTCGTAACAAAGCGAAAGTGCAATCGACGGAATAGCAGGCCTAAAAATAACATTTTTGCTTTTACTTATTATAAGATGCTCGATGATTTTAAATGGGAGTAGTGACATTTTTTCAATTTCGGCACACAATTCAATGCCAAGACAGACGATCGGGTTGGTCGTTCGCGATTTCTCACGTTTTCTCTGCTCTTTGCTCTCGATGGTTTGCCCTCACTCATCCCCAATTTCCCCTTATTCCACTTGTGTCATCTGTTTGCAGTGTGAAAAGCAGTGAAGAAAAGCCGGCTCAGCAGGAGGCGAAAAACGTTTTCCAAACGCATCAGATGTAAATGAGATGCCGTCGCGCCGGCAGCAGAGGCACCACCAGCACCAGCAAGCAAAACCACGCCGACATCGCCTCCGGAAATACCAGGAGCCGCAGCAGCATCTGATTATCAAGTGAAGTGCAGTGGGGCGAGGACTCACTCCGTTCGAAACGATTGATACGTTGGATACATAGCATATAGGATACCTATAGCATACATTATAGTCACAGGGAGCAGCGGGACAACTGATCTTGGGCAGCAGGCAGGGACATCATCGAGCATTTCGGGAAGAGGATACACGGCGCGCACTCAAGATGAAGCGACGCAACGCGGATTGTGGAAAACTTCGGCGGCCGATTAAGCGCAACAAAATCACAGAGGGAATGTACGGCAGGTGAGTGCCTTAAGCTATATAACCAATTATTTACGGTTATCCAATATAGCCCTGACCTACATACCAAAACAAACTAAGACTTGCTTACATTTTAAAAAATGCATTTCTAAAAGCAGCACGATAGAATTTTTATAATACAAAAAACAATGCGCTTATCTTGTCTTGAATAACAATTACTTAGTATATTATTATGACTGTGCTATTAAAATTACACATAAAATATCTACAATTGTTCATATGCGAGATTGAGGTCCTAAAAATGGTACTCGATTGTAATGTCCAAAAACGATACCATTTATGACAATTAAATTGTTCAAATTTCTCAATTGAAGCAGTAAAGATACTTTCCGATTTATTGGCATGGGAACTGCCCCCAAGTCAACTTGATGATAAACAGATTTTTGAGGCGCAAGAGAAGCACCACCGAAATTCCGAGAGAGTGCCCATGTGGTGGGAACTGTGTTCTCCTCTTGTCTCGCTTTTTATTATTTATACGTTTGTTTACTTTTTGATTTGATTGCGCCCGAATGTTGTTTTATAATGTTAAGCATGTATTATTTGGACGCTACTTGTTTTTGGCATTCTACCCGCCTCTTTGCGCTTCTGTTTCGCCAGATTTCTTCATTATGCCCATTCCCATTCTAATTAAACATTTTTGCTGTCTGATTGATGGATGCTGGCTTCCATTTGAGTTGTGAAAACTTGTTATTAAAGCTGACCCTTAATTGTTTACATTTGTTAATGGGACAGAACACAAGAGGGAAACCAGTACGCGTGACAATTTGAGAATGTCAATTATTAATGGAGATTGGTGTTTTCGCACACAACTAATTAAGTTAACAGACTTATAATATGCACTGCAATACTTAATTAATATTAGTAAAAATCATATTGCTGTGAATTTTTGCTATAATAATTTCGTTTTTCCTTTCTTGCAGCACAACAGTTCTGTACATGAAGTTTCTGATCCTTTGGGCCATAGTTATGGTTGCCGATTTCATGTTCATGTTCCGCTTTGAGTTCTTGTGGCCATTCTGGCTGCTCCTTCGCTCCGTGCACGATTCCTTTAAGTACAAGGGACTGGTAAGTGGAAAGGCGATTGGCATGAGGATGGGTGCCGAGCCAAAGCGATTGAAACTCTATACGGTCCAATTTCATTTGCAGGCATTCTCCGTACTGTTCGTGTGCATAGCGATAACGTCGGATCTGGTCTGTTTATTCTTCATACCCGTTCACTGGCTGCTCTTTGCAGCAAGCACTTATGTGTGGGTGCAGTACGTCTGGCACACAGGTGCGTCATCCACTGGCAGTGGAGATTCAGTGGACATCCTCTCCTAACTTTATTGCCCGTTTTCTTACAGATAAGGGTATCTGTTTGCCGACGATAATACTCTGGATGTTATTTGTCTACCTGGAGGTAGGCATAAGATGGAAGGACAGTCGCCACATGCCGCACTTGGATCTCTGCCGGCCGTTCGCAGCGCACTGGTAAGAATAGAAGTCAGGACTAAAGATGAACCCTGTTGTAACCACCATATTCGCTTTCAGCATTGGCTATCCGGTTGTCACGCTTGGATTTGGCTTCAAAAGCTACGTGGGCTACCGCATGCGCCAGCGCAAGCAGCGCGAGGTGGCCAAGGACAACGAGTTCTACATGCAGCTCCTACAGCAGGCTCTGCCCGCGGAGGAGGCAGCTGAGGAGGCGTCTGCGGGGGCGACAGCCACATCCAGCACCGTCGTCGTGGCCAACGGGTCTGCAACTACGCCGGCTCTGGTCGCTTCATCAGGAGCAACTGCGGCGAACGGGATTTTGGCCACTGCCACGCAAGCACAAAACCATCATGAGCATCATCACAGCGGCGGCGCCGGCGCCAGCAGCAGCAGCTCGAGCAATAGTAATCATCACCATCACCACCATCATAGTAACAGCAGTGGCAACAGCGGCAGCAACCATAACAGCAACAGTAGCAGTGGCGGCGCCAAGGACAGCAGTACGAGCGAGAGTGCATCAGGCGCCGGCTCGTCGTCCATTGCAGCGTCTTCAGCAACAGGAGCAGCAGCAGCTGCGTCATCAGCGTCCGCGACATCCGCCTCGTCGTCGTCGTCGGCGTCGACGGGCAAGCAGTCGGCGTCTGTCGCATCCACGGCCACAACAGGTGCAGCAACCACTTCTTCCACTCCCGTCTCAGATTTCTCTGCTTTGGCTACAAGTTTGGCGACAGAGCAGCAACATCAGTCGGAAGCGACAGCATACCCGGCTACTTCTTCTGCCCGTTCTGCCTCCTCTACTTCCGAAGGTGTCGATGCTGACGGTTGTTGTGGTGGTAATAATGAATTCAACTGCTTCCTGCTGTCCCTCACAACAGCAGATCAGAACCCACTAATTTGTACCAGACACATTTGTTTGTTTGTGTATGCGCATGTAACCCATGAACCCATCCATATAGTAACCTCCACCGAGGCTTCCTCGCGGTATCTAACCCACAGCAACCACAGTCGGCAGTTGTTAGCCCTTACAAATTGAAACCTTCATATCATTACGTTCCCGTTGCAATGCCAATCTAATTTCGATTGCTAATAGCAGGCCCGAACGAATAATTACGCCCTCAGAACCGATTCCCTCACGAATCAATAAAACACAATTATGTTGTGGACCGATGTGTATAAATAGCATGCATTTAACCATCTATTATTATACTCATTTAGCAACCTCCAATGGACACGCTGGTGGTTCAAGGAACCATCGGCGCAGCATGGACAAGGATAAGCATCGCAACAAGGGTGACGCTGCTGATAATGAGCAAAACAATGGAACGCGGCAAGGTGGTAAAAATAGCAGCAACAACTATCACCAAGTCGATAGCGCTGCCACAGCAACCGCAACAGTAACAGCTACATCAAGTAATAGTAAGGATAAGGATAAGGAGAAGTCAGACTGGGATAGTACCACAAACTATCCACAACAACAGCAGCAGGGGGGAAAGGAGAAGCACGGTGAGTGGCTGGATCCTCTGATATGATTAGCTTCTAATCTTATCGAGTGAGTTTTTTAATTAACGTTATTAAGTGGTTTTTATTTAATGCATTTCCTTTAAGAAATGCATTGCCCATGCTGTGCCCTTAATTAGTGATATAGAACTAGTTAACTAACGTTTATAGCGTATTCCTTAGTACGCGTTAAAAAAGACTTGAGGATGAACCACTTATCATTTTATATTTGCAGAGAAAAAGGCTGGTAACGCTGTTCCCAACGGCAATGCCAATCACCTGGAAGATGAAACGGCTAGTGTGGAGGCAACACCACCTGTTGAAAAGGCGCCTAAGGGTAAGAGCAGAGAGTCAATAGAAAGGTAATAAACGCTTAATCTTAATGCCATTTTGTAGGTCGACGTAATCGCGGCAAGAAGGATAATGCAGCAAAGGACAATCACAGCCATCAGCAGCAGCTGGCTCAGCAACAAAAGGAAAAGGACAAGGAGAACACAGCCAACAACAATAATAACGACGCAAGCTCAGTATCATCTTCGGCGAGCTCCACCTCCAGCAATGCCATCGCGAACTTGGCCAGCAAGGTGGTCTCCAAGATCTGTGAAACGTGCCTCAAACTAGAGGCCGATGTGAAAAAGTATCGAGCTGAAATCAGCCATATGAAGCAAATCGAAAACGAATTGCGGCAAAAGTTGGACGCCAATCTCACCAGCAAGTCATCTCTGCAGGCCAAGCAGAAGGAGTGCGACGACCTGGAAAAGCGCATTCAAGAGCTGAACAACGCCCGACATGCTGATATGCTCAATTTGCAGACAGTGGAACGAAGACTAAACGAAGAGCGCCGCCAGAAGCAATCCCTGGACTCGCAGCTGTCCAACGAGAAGAAGGCTCGAAAGGTGGCCGAGGAGAAGGCGGCTCGTCCGGAGTGCAGTTCCCAGTGCAAACAGCGCCGCCAGCAGATGGATGAGGAGCAAAAGCGACTGCGAGGCGATCTTAAGCAGGCGGAGGAGGCGAAGCAACTTGCTGTCGAACATGGACGAAAAGTGGAACAAGAGGTAAGCGGTTAGAGTCTGTTTCCTTTTTCGATGTTTCAATGAAACATTGTGCCATTAGTACCGCATGCTGGAAGCGAAACTTCGCAATCGGGAATCGTCCCAGCCTGATCCCGAGATGCTATTGAACGCCCTGGCTGCCATGCAGGACAAGAACGCAACGCTGGAGAAGAATCTATCCGCAGAGACGAGAGTCAAGCTGGACTTGTTCTCGGCTCTGGGCGCTGCCAAGCGCCAGATTGAAATATCTGACAGTGAGTATAGGTTTTGTTTAATGTAAAAGCTGGTTGATTTCTAATTCATTATTCACTTCCTCAGACCATCGTCGCTCCAAGGAGGATGAGGTCATTGATCTCAAGGCAAAGATTGCCCAACTTCTGGCCGTGATGCCAGACAACTTGTGCATGAACACTGGCCCACATGGGCCGGCGAGCAGCATTCTGCGTATGAACGACACGCCGCCGCTGCAGTCGGGTCCCGGACCGTCCTCGCCCATGCTCAGCCTGAGCGCTGCGCAGGAGTACCAACAGCATCAGCAGCACCAGCAACACCAGCAGCACCAACAGCATCAACAACATCAGCAACATCAGCAGCATCAGCAACAGCAGCATCAACAGCATCAGCAACATCAGCAGCATCAGCAGCACCAGCAACATCAACAGCACCAACAACATCAGCAGCATCAGCAGCAGGGAGGCGGTGGGCCTGTCTCCCAGCAGCAAATGGTGCCGGTCAGTGTCGCAGCTGCCTTCCAAGTTGCTGCAGCCAATGCCGCTGCTGCAGCCAATGCCGCTGCTGCCAACGGAAACGGGGGATCAACGCTAGATCCCAATGCTAGCGTGTACACGCCGAAGAATGGCAACATGATGGTGGTGTCGCCGGTGGGCATGAATCCCAATGGGGCGGATGCCTGACGCCAACAGCAGCAGCAGCAGTCCTTGACATCGTCGTCGTCGTCCTCGCACATGCATCTGCGACGACAAGTTTGAGATTATTATACTTTATATGAATTAGGGAAAAGAAACGCAAACAACAACCGTCGCCACAGCAAACGATGAGCAGCCCGTAACCCGGTGCCGGTTCCAAGAAGATGTTTGCATACAATATCTGAATGTCCGTAATATAAATAAGCAGTTTCCTTTAAAATTAAATCACCGCTACAGAAGCGCAGGCAGCACTGATGAATTCAGCTTAAAATTGCTGAACATTTTCCGTTTTACAAATTCAAATTGTTCAATCCAATCAGTTTCCTCAATGAATTCGGCATTCCAAACAGAAATTACCTTGAAGGCCCACTTTTTACTGACCCTTTGAATATTCTCAGATCATTTAAACAACTGTTTCAAATCGGCTGCCCGCCGTCACCACACCACATACACATTCAGTAACCTCCCTCTAACACGAAAAGTACATGATTACTTTAACAAGATGATTCGAGAACTCGGAACACATTTGAAAACGATAAGAACAGAACACAAATTTCTAAAAATAATAACAAAATGAAAATGGCGATTCGTATTTTTTAATTCATGATGAATGCCAAGGAAGTATCCCTAAAATCCTTTGTAAAATGTTTTATTTTTTTACCAAACGCTGTGACAGAGTTGGACCAACCGAAGTGATGGCCTTGATCTTGGGGAGACGGCAGGTGTTCTGCACGACCTCTGCCTCATGTCCCCTGATTCAATGGAATATTTTTGAAGTCTGCGCCCTTGATTTATTATCTCATTAAATTATTTTTGTTATAAAACCTTAAATGTATGCTATAATTTAGAACTTATAATTTTTGAAAACAAACATCAAACGAAAAACTATTTTCTTTTAAGTTTTAATTTATTTTTGTTTAGTTCTGCTGTTCCTAAGAAACAAAAAATCGAAAACAACTAAGGAAAACGCTTTAGTTTATTTACGAGAAGTGAAACGTCGACTATTTTGTTCAATAATAAAGTAACCTTTCGCTGCGAGAAGCAAGTATAAATATTTTGTTTAGTTTAGTTGAGTTTTGATTGGCTTGATTTGCTTTATTGTTTCATATTCTCAGGAACCTTTGCTTAAGTTGTACATTTTGACTTTTCCCAGTTCCCTGAATTGCTTCAGCAGTTCACTATCAAAAAGCTATACTTCACCAGAAATTCGACAAATCCAAAATGCTGCCTTACTTGATTTATAGTGTACTAGAAGCCATTTCGAATGCGATCTACACATCAGTGATCACCATTTGGAGCATTGAACGTAAGTGGACCCCTCGTGATCCATCATCCTTCAACCAAACAATCCGATCCACAGAGGCCCTAATCAACCTGATGATGTCCACATTTCTGTTTGTGCTTGGCATAGCCTGTCACCCGATAATGGTGATTCCCATGTTGCTTGGAGGCTACTATATTTTACGCAACTGTTGGTACCGTCGGGCCAAGAACCCGAGGCTAGACAGTTCCATGGATGGTGATGTCACACTGATGGCAGGAGTACGTCAAGTGCCACGTATTCCCTCCTATCGCAGCTTCAATGTTGGCATTGACACTCCCAAAGACGACTAGCAAGGAGAACACCGCGCGGCAGGCATGGAGTTTGACTGGTATATAATCTTCAATTACACATGTTGGCAAATACATATGTGGGCGCTTCCAAAACTTGGCTACATATAAATGCTGCGGATCTTTTATTGGAATTTGGTTGTGTGGATCCTTAGCATGGAATAACTGTTGTGCTTAGGTATATTTTCTTAAATTACATGACTATTGTTTAGTATGAATCTAATAGCTCTATGAATACTGTATTATGAATCACGGTTTTAGCAAGCTGCTGGTGTCCACTTTACGCAGCGCTTCTCGTGCCTTGATCAATGTGACATTGTTTGGCTGACTGACGAGCCCGGCTAAGTGCCGGATGTACTTGTCAATGTTGCCAACGCTGGGACCACTTGGCTCCAGAGAAGGCAGCGAGATTCCACCGAGGGCTGCGACCAGTTTCTGGCGCAAGCCGCGCACATAGGTCTCCAGGCGTTGGTTCTCCTCCATTAGTTCAGTTACCTCGCCCATCACCTTGGCATATCCGGCTTTCGTATTGTCTACGTGCTGTTCCAGCACAGCATTCTGCTGCTCCAGATCGGTCTTGGCCTTGCGCAGTGTCCTCAGCTCATTCTCCGTGCTGCGGTTGTGTTCGATAAACTCGTTGGTGTAGATGGGTATCTCGCCGGTCTGGAGCGGTCGTGGCGCAGGTGGCATGCTGCTGGGAGGGGGCTGCACTGGAGCCGCTGGTGGTGTGGGTGGCGGTGGTGTCTGGGCACGCTTCACCTTTGCCAAGGGCACGTCATCCGGATCCTCGCTCTGCCGTTTTACCTGCTTTGCCTTGGTCTTCTTCGCTTTACCCAAGGCTGATTCACCCTTCGGCGTCTTTTCCTTGGGCGAACTATCCAGCTTCGTGACCTTTTTGGCCTTGGCCAACTCGTTGGCTAAAATTTCGGGGTGTTCCTTGAGAAACAGTTGCAACTGCTCCTGATATCTATGAAAAATTTAAGATTGTTGGATTTTACGAGTTGGGTTTTTGGTGAATTGGGTATAAGCATACATGGCCTTGTCCTTGGCAGCTGCCTCCATGTAGGGCGCCTTGCGCTCCTCGGGCAGCTGATGCCACTCCTCGCCGATGATCCTTGTGTGCTCCAGTGCTGTACGTTGTGGTTGCTCCCGCCGCAGCTCCTCGCGTCGATCGTTCATGAAGCGGACGTAGCCATTAAGCGGCATCTTCGGAGCACCGGCCACGTTGATCCGACGCTGGGCCAGCTTCTTAAGTTCGGAGCCCATGTCGGAATCCGAGTGGCGACCCTTTGGATTCTTGGTTTTCTTCTTTCCCTTGGCTGGTTTGTCCTCGTCGAACTCTTCTAGGGTCGCCGAATCCATGGATTGGGAGGCGATTGGCAGTGATACGGGTGATTCCGTAACCGCATCCGGTGTCTTATTCGTTGGCTCCGTCATTTCGGTTTGTCCGTACGCTCTACTGCATTTAAAAATACTTTATTTTGTTGCCAAATCGCATGTATATAGTTCCCGTGCAAAAACTGGTTCATGTGTATAAACAACTTTTCGGAACTAGTTCCAAAACGACTTTGCTTTGGCTGGCGCATTAGGGTGGCTCCATTTATTTTCTTAGAAAAAGTTTTTAGTTTATTTAGAGAGGAACAGATTTGTACTTCTTTAAGCCCTTACTTAAGGATATTTATCCATGAATTTGAATAAGAACAAATACCCAATAGGGTATATAGTAAATTTCAGAGAATAATTGTGGTTTTATTTCATCTATTTGCGTTATATGCAGTCACTTCAACGCTTACGACGCACTTTTACATGACATGTACATGAATACATATATACATTGTCGGTACATATTTAATGAGAATTAAATGACTCTTTTGCTTATACATAAATGTACATATAAAACAGTCCATCATCTACGCAGAAATTGCGTCATAAAAAGTGGCGTGATGCTAGAGGAATGGCGTGATTAACTTTTTATCATACGGAGTTCAAAGTTCTGTTTCGCCTAGAATAAACAAAAACATAGAGGTTGTTGTTTGGTTTGGTTTGTATTTTGATTATATTTTTGTTTTTTAATGTTTTCGCAAATTTTTTGAGCACAATATAAGTAATCATAAGCCTATGTTTAGAGATTGTTAAATATAAATGGAAACCTACAGCTAAACTTAGCGCTTTAACTACAGTATAATATATAAAGCCTTCGATTAAGAATTTATGTACAGCCTATCAACTAAAACATTTAAACAAACGGCGGCCGGCCAAACTTAACAATACAAGAGAGACAGAACGAAGTTTTCAGCTTGGAAAACTCAGATCAAACTGGGAAAAAGCTCGTCGAAATTGCTCTCCCAGGGGAAATCCTCCTCATCTGCGGGCAGAGTGAGAGCCGCGGATATGGGTGAGCCCAATATGGACTCGTATCCGTGGTCCGAGGTGGCCGAGTGGAGGGACAATGCGGGGGATTTAGCCAACGGGGAGATCGCCTTGACGCGCGGACGAAGGAATCGGTCGATGGGATCGAAGCTTTCGTCGTCGTCCGAATCATCGGTGGCGTTCATCACGTTGAGGTACACCTGTGACGGAGACGTCGCTGGCGGCGGACACTTCATGATCACGTCCGTCGAGTCGTCGCTAGCGCTGACGCCGTCACAGTAGATCTCCTCCACGGCCTCGTTCACCGGCACCGCATCCCCTTCCATCACGATGGTGATCGAGTTCGTCTTCGCATCGTAGGTGCCGTACACCGTGTCCGGTGTGGCCTGTAGTAGAGAGGCGGCCGCTGTCGCTGTGATTGTGGCTGTTCTGGAGGCTGGCGCTGCTGTAGGATGCTGTGGGTTTCCATTTATCTCCAACACCTTCACATTTAGGCTGACCTTGTGCTCCGGTTCCTGTTCCTGTTCAACCTTCAGGCTATTAGCTCTATGCCCGTCGGATTCCAGGCGCTCTGCTGCGGGCCCCACCATTGATCCAAGCAATCGCTCTGCGTTGCCTGCATCTTGGGAAGCAGCTGGGCTGCTCGCTCCAGCGCATGTTTCCAGGTCTGCTGTGATATCTGCGAGCAGACTTTCGGCCAGTTCTTCGAGGCGCTTGGCGTCGAATTCTTCGTCGTCCCCAAGCATGTCTTGTAGAGTAGGCAGAGGGCCACAACTTTCCAGAGTGAGGCCAAGCTCTTGCTGCTCTTCAGCTGCTCCGCCAGCAGACGCGCTGACGACTGTGTGTCCACCTGTTGTATACCCTGCGGCAGAGGGTCAGCTTTGGATGCTGCGGATCCAAGGTTGGTGGACGCACAGCCCTCAGCGCCTTTGCTGGCGTTGGATTGGCTGATGCATCTGGTGTTGTGCTGTTGTTGCTGCTTAAGTTCGACGAGTTCTTGGCGCAGGAGCTCCAGCTCCGAGTCCAGCTTGTGGTTCTTGGCCAGCAGTGACTCGTTGATGGCCTGCAGGCTATCGCACTTGTTCTGTAGTATTTCCGTTTTGTCTGTGAGCTCCTTGATCTCGTAGTCCATCTCCTCCATGCGTGCCTTCTTGCGGTCACGCGATGTCTGGGCGGCCACTCGGTTCTTTAGCTTTCTGTTTGATAATATCAGTGAGTAACAAACTCAAATTTCGTTAAAATGTATGTGGACTTACTTTCTTTGCACTTTCTCCTCCCAGGTTAGATGGTCCAGACGACGCTTCTTAGCCTTGGGCTGGGATGCAGCCATGTTATCGTCATCCATGTTCGACGAGGATGCGTATCCCGAACTAGAGGGCGTGGGCGAGGCGGAGGGCGTGGCCGACGCCTTAAGCAGGGCCGCCGTAAGGGGGGCGGGGCGCAGTTTGGGCAGATTATTCGATGTGATTGCTGTCCGCGGCACGGTAATTAGCACTGTATTTCCTGTAGGTGCCATGTCTAACTGGTTTGGGGGCTAAATGATAAACTGATGTGTGCTGTGGGCAATTGTGGAAAGCGTTTTTCCACTTAAATTTGCATTTTAAAAGCGTGTTTAACTTTTGCTTGTTTTAGGTCGTCTCATGAACATCGACTGCGCTTCTCGGACGCTTTGCTGGTTTGTATCTCTTCATCGCCTCCGACTCGGGCTTTTCTGACTCCGTCTCACGCAATTTTCTCATCCACCTTTGCAATATCGACCGACTGGTTTTCCCTTCTGCTGACGTGTTCTTTTCCGAATGGCTGTGAAAAGTTGACGTGGTTTTTCTAGAAGAGTTGGGGTGCCAGGGATGGCGACACACATATCGGGCTATCGATTGCACATCCAAGTTAATTTTTTAGCAACTATTTGTCGTACAAATGCGTCAATATATTGTACAATTTTTTTAACATGGCTTTCATTTATGCTTTGTTCCATTTCAGACAAAATGTTACAGAAAAATAATATTTGTGTGGGTAAATTATTTATACGATTGTACTTTAAACTAAGAACGATTAGTCCATCTCAAGCTGCGCACTCCAGAGTGACCAACTATAACGTAAACTGAAACAGTGTAATTGAGATAAAAAGTTCTTTAATTTAAAAAAGTCGCAATTTTGTTATTCTTCTTTTTAAGATTATATAAATGTATATAAATTTATTTTCAGTGTTATTATTTAGGGGCCATCTATAACATTGTTTGTTGTGGTTTCTTGCCCTTTTCCTTTTCGGCTTGGGCCAATTCCTCTTTAATAACCTCCGCAATGTCATAGATCTTAGGCTTGTGCTGAAATTTTTTAATGGAATCAATCCAAAGTAGGTGGAAAGTACGATCTCACCTTGAGTTGATTTATGTAGAAGGTGTAGGGAATGTGTCCAGTAATGGGATCAATGGCCACAGGCCACATAGCATTCAGTTCTTCAGCGGTGAAGGGCTCTCCATTCTCCGCCATCAATTTGCCAAAATACTCCTTGGTCAGATACTTCTTGTTTTCTGGATCTAGGGTCTCAAAGGCCTCGAGAAGCTTTTCTGACGATGCTGGTTCCATTCTGTGGACAAAAATCGTTAGAGTTGCTAACCGAACCTAATGGGAGTAGATTGAATAACTGTCGATCCATCAGCAGTTTGGAAACATGTTCCATGAACCTGACCAAATGGATTTCCCCTGGATAGTCCACGGAATCGGTGGCCTTTATGACATCTTCGACCTCTTTTTCGGTGGGCACGCAACCTAAAAATCGGAGAACGTTGCCGACATTGCGGGAATCAATATACTTATCGCCATGTGTATCAAAAATGCAAAATGCTTCCGAAATCTTTTCCTCAAGTTCGTTGTTTAGGGTAACTATAAATGGTTAGTATTTTTTAACGGAGCGGGGATGCTCATTTTATATAATGCATACCACCAACTTCCATCGCGAGTATATACTTTAGAATTTAATAATAATTTTTTAAATATGTTCACTGATAATTTTAAAGAACCATTTATTTTTTCCTGATTTATGTATTTTTCGGTTGAAACATTACTAAGGGATTGCTGTTTTTATTTTGAATTTGTAAATATCGATCGGAAACCGATAATGGCGCCAAGTAAATGATATCGCTCGTGTGGTCATACTAGGTGTGGTGAATAAGCACCGATAAGCATTAGTCGATAACTGCCTGCGAAGCAGCCGTGTTGAGCGTCGCGTTTGTTTTCTGTTTTGTTTTTTGTTTCGTGTTTTTAATTTGTTTCCCATTAATTTGCAATTAAAGTTGAGACTATTAATTAACTAAAGATTTCGTGCTATCAAACCAGTGAAGTTTGAGACTCACCAGCGCTCTTTAAAGGACGTAGTAGACTGCATTCGTTTGTTGTCGGTGAGAATTTGCATCTGTGTGCGTCGTTTGGCAGCAACAGGTTTTCCAACTCAACTCATCGCGCCACCACAGTTTTCATTTGTTTTCGATATTCCGTGGAGTTCGGTTCGCGTTGCGGGAAAATCGAATTGCAATTGAATGCAGCGTTAAATGGAAAACGAGCAACTCGTTTCTCATATCGTCGCAGGTGTGTAACGTCGTTCGGCGATTCCAACGGGTTTTCCAGGAGGTTTTTGGCCCACAACAAGTTCAAAAACTTGGCCATAATACTACAGTTAACAAGTGCCACCGCATCTCTCTGTTGTGTTGACAAGTGTATGTGTATGTGTATTTGGGAATACGCGTTTTTAAAAAAGAAAAACAACGAAAATCGCCATAAAAATGGAAAGTGCTCGATACTACTTGTCTGCTCAAAACTGATCATCGATCCCTCGTCTTAGACTCGTTTTCGAGCCAAATAAATAAACAAAGCAAACCAAAGCGGCAGCAGAAACCAACAAGGTGCGAATTTTGAAAGTGACTGAAAATGTTATTTATCTCCCTCATTGACATTTTTCCAATTTCTGCCCATGGCATTGACCACTTTACTTGATTACCCGATAGAAAGTTTATCTGTGATCGATGGCAATTAGCGAGGCGTGCGTGAAAAGATAAATATTTGCTTATGTATCTGACACTTGACTGTTGAAAGCTAGTTTCCCTGATTGCTGATTAATTTGCACGAAAAAAGATGACTGTTTACATTGCGCATTACTATAATTTGCTAGTTTCTGGAGCACTGCACAGGCTTTTATCAACAACCAAGACCCTACTTAACTGTGAAAAATGGCAACTATGATGTCTCTTTTTACAACGTGCTGGTCTAACCACATTTGGATATGCATACAACTCGGACTAAATCACTTTTGCAGAAAACCTCAGGCGCCCATAAATGCCGATGATGAGTTTTCCCCATGCAGTGAAATTGTGGTCCTAACTATACGCTTTTTACTTGCTCTTCCATAGTGATTTCCCCCTGTGAATGCCATTTGGTACTAGGTATTTTCTGGTCGTGCGCCGCCTGTTTGTCGAAAGTGGCCCGATCTTTTTCCCTCTTCTTTCATTTTCCTACCTTTCCTTCACTTAACTTTACTTTCCGCTCCTTCCGCGGCTTTTCTCTAATGGGAAATGATTTTTTTTTGCTGTCCACCAAACGACAGGTGGTTGGGCACATTTGCGGTCTGCGAAGGGTTTCTCTGTGGCAAGTGGAGCAACCACCATCGCTACCCGCAGATCGTTCCTGTTACGTGTCCCTACAGAGAAAAAAACGAGCAACAGAATTGGCAATTTTAGAGAAACAAAAATTTTTTATGGGATACAGAAAACAGACAATATTCGTAGAATTACTTATTACGCATTACTTATAGCACAAAACATGAGCAATTCTTTTTCCATGCTCTCTAAATCCTTATCAAATCGTAACCCATAGAAGCGATACTATACTTTTTCCTTTGTGTAAATGTGGGGGTTGCCTTTCGGTTTTCAGTTTTCAGTTTTCAGTTCTTAGTTTTCCGTTTTCTGGCGATCTGATGGCATGCTCTGAAAAACTTGTTTCCCTCCGCTGTTGTTTTGTTTGTTGTTTCTGGAATTCTTGGTTGGCGGTGCCCGCAGCTCGCTGTGTGCCTCACATAGTACACCCTCTGCCCTGTAGCCACCTCCATTCCACCTCCGTCCTCATCCACTCAACGATCGTCTTCTGTTTTTTTTTTTTTTTTCTCATTGGAGTAAATTTTTCGCTTGAGGAACTTTATGTTGCTGCCGTGTTTGATGCCCCTTTTTTCGCACAGTTAATTTCCTTATTCTTTTCCCCGCGCTCATAATTGTGTGGCGTGAGTCAACGTATTCATATTTCGCTCGGGGAAACCAGCATTTGTTTAAAATACTCTTACAAATGCATATTCAAATCTAGCGAGAGTTGTGAAATGTCTACAATCTGCTCTGAAATTGTAAATTGTATTTAAACTAGTTGGTGGTAAACTCAAGAGTTTAACTGCACCAAATTAAGCAAAGAAAGTTTACTTTTTTATATGGATCCAAATAAAACGAGCTGGTTTTCTTAAACGCACTTGAAGACAGCAAAAAATGGTTTTGAGTGGCGACAATTTAAGAAAAACCTCGCCATGAAATGCACACAAAAATAATTATAACTACGCGTCTGGCATGGGAAAGTCGAAGTAGCTCCCCGTTAAATTGCAATGTCAACAATGGAGGGGCTTGTGGAGCTCGTGGGGCTATGGACGGATACTGACTAGCCTAACTGAACAATCTGCTGATTGGCCCCACTTGGAACTGCAGTCTGGACCAAGCCACCGAACAATGCGCTTGTCTGGCCCGGAGCTGTCTAACTGGATAGTTGGCTTTGGGACTTGGTTTGGAGGTGGAGAGCGAGGTGGTCGTCCCAACAATGTTAGATATTCAAAGTATGTGGCGATGCTTTTCATGCGATGCAGTTTGAATTGCGAGGATATACAAATTCCAAAAGAAAAATAGTGTCATAGAACTGCTACCGATTTCAATTCCCAGTCTCAAGATTCAACTCTTTAAGGCACTGAGCTGTTACTATGGCTTTGTTAAATGGATTGCTCCAAAACTCTCATTTTCAATATATTTATGCAATAATTGTTCTTACTTAGCATTTATTTAGTAAGTATTTATAATACTTCGGCGCTCTGAAGTAATCAAGGAAAACATATAACTCATGAAATAAATCGCAAAATTTGTATCTAAATATAAAAATGAGCACACTGCAAATACAACTGAAGCGTTCTTTGTTGCTTTACGATTACTGTGGTGTTTACTATCATGCATACACATGGTAATTGTTTATATTACTTTGCATACTGCTAATTAATGGTTTCTCTTTTGATTGTTCTGTTTTGCAGCTTCCCGAACCGGAATGGAAGCTCAATGACATACCAATTATCTAAAAGGCAAAATGAAGAAGCGTTCAAAGTTTATCTAAACATTCCCGCAGACAAGCGAAACAAAGCGAATCCGAGACAATCAACAGCAAAGTATTAAATAACGAAACTCAAATGCAATGGAGGCAAATAACGCTAGTGCTTGAAAACAATTCAACTGTGTGAGAGAGCGTGATCGCAGCTAAAGACAAAACCAGCACCAGCCAGCCGGCTTAAAATGCCAATAATCACGGCCACGACAACGTCGACAGCCGGCGGAGGAGCAGGTGTGGCGGCCAGAGGCGTGGCCACCGCTAAGTCTCCCACCGATTACCTAATGCTGCAGCAGCAGCACCAGCAGCAGCAACAGCAGCAGCAGCATTTCAGCAGCAATCACTTCTATCAACAGCAACAGCCGCAACAGTTGGCGCCTCTGAATGCTTCCCACCAACACCAGCACTCCCATCCACATCCACATCCACATCCTGTTGCCGCTCCGACCAGTTTTGCAACATTTAACGGAAACTCGAATCTAAATTCTAGCCTTGCCAACGGAAGCAGCAGAAAATTCAATTGCAGCCGCGACAACGTGGACGATGCCGGCGATGCCAATGAAATAGCAGCCGTTTCCCAGACACTGTCCTCGGTTGGCTCAGATGTGGTTGGTAACGGGAACGGGAGCGGGAGCGGGCACGGACATGGCCATGGAAATGGAACTGGGAACGGGGACAAGTCTGGCACTGTAGCGCCACCAGGTGGCCACCATCTTCGACCGCCACCGCCGCCGGCACTCAAGAAATCCGCCGTATCCGCATCAGCGGTCGGGAATTCAGCCTCACGCGAGGATGTCGCCTCGTTGAGTGGCACCTCCTCGCTGAACAGCCAGATGTCGGTGCACAATCAGTTCATCTCCGGATTGCCAAGCAATGGCATTGGCAGCAATGGAGTCAACGGAGGAGCAGCCACTGGACGAGGCGGTCCACCCAACAGCATTCTGAAGGGGAGCAAGGGTAAGGAAACAAAATTTCTATGTAATTCCTCGAGAAATCCTATTTAAATCCTACACTCCATTTTGAAAAAGAATTTCTGATTAAGTTCCATTTTAATAAATAATGGAAAGTAAATTGACCATTGTTGTGCTCATTAAAAATGAGGGGAATAAAGTGTTTCTACTTAATTAACACTGTCTAAATAAGTAAAACCCACGAAATGTGTGTTTTTTCACTCAATCTCTAGCATGTTAATACAAATTTGCCGTCGCATGATATCATGTTATCAATTATGTAGATAGCTGTTTGTGTGGCTTGCCGAGCCGGTGCTCCAAATCGAATTTCCATTTTCGTTTCGCCCAATAAAATATTAAAATTAATTTGCAGCGGAGCAACTCTTGAACCTAATTTAGGGCGTTCGTCTCAAGTGACTCATTTCCGCCCCCACATGGCCAGTGGCTATGATTCGTCCCAACACACACTCCCACTTTCGTTTCGTTTCAGTTTCAATTACACAGTTCGGTTTCGGTTTCGGATTCAACTTTAAATGCACTTGTAGTGCCACAAAATTGGTCTACTCGCAGCGGGCAGCCGAGGGAAAATAAACAAAAAGTACCCAAACAGCGGGTGGAAGTTTTGGCCCATTGTTTGGATAGCCACGTGCCTGGGAAGAACTGCCACAATTGGTAGCACATACCATGTAAACCAAAACCCACTTTCTTGTTAACATGCTACCTCAGCTCCA